TTTTCCACCTGTTTTGATGAATCTTTGCTATTCTGTTCTGGTAATTTCAATAATTATAACTGTACATCCATCCATCCATCTGTATATTATGTTGCTGTACCTGACCTGGGACCTAACAGTGAAAGGTGGTTAAGAACTCTTGGGTGGGATTCACCTAACAAGTCCTGTCACTGGAAGTCATGTGCAAAAACGTCAGCTTGCTCAATGGGACTTGCCCCCTCCCCCCTAAATTGGGGGGTTGAGGGAATCCCCAGAACAGCACACAGGGGAAAGAGGGTATGTGTGTGTGTGGGGGGGTGTCATTCCATCTGGATAGCTGAAACACTTGCACAGGCTGAATGTTCATCATAATGGGACGTTGAACTCCAACACCTATAAACAAATAAATAAAAATTAAAATACTAATCTAAAATTACATTTAGGCTGTAGTCCTACAGCTGATGGGTCTTGGGATGCATTATAATTGGTGCTCCACCAATACTGAAGGAGATATCTACATCACTGGAGGTACCCTGGAATGTATAGATGTTTTGCCAGCCATGGGTGGGTGGGGAAACAGGGCATTTTGGATGGGTAAGTTTGCGGCATTTTGGTGGCATCTGCCAGGAGCAAGAGTCAGGTGTAGGTCATCAATAAAAAAAAAAAAATCAGTGTCAGTGAAACTAACACTTTATAAAAACTAAAACAATGCAGGCCTAGTGATCCCAGCAACTCTTCTCGGTAGGTCTTGCCCCAATGAGGCACTTGTGATGACTGGAGGTCTCTGCCTTCTCACAGCTTTTCAGGCTCCCCCCCCCCAAGCAATCAGAGACTGTGTCTGCACACAACCAATCTGTCCGCTGCTCTTTTCATTTCTCTGCATGTTCTCGGAGACAAGGGTGGAGGGGAGCTGGTCGCAGCAGGAGGGGGAGACTCCCTGGATTCTTCCTGGCCCCTCTTCTCTCCTGTCCCTGAATCAGAACTGCCCCAGCTTCTTCCTGCTCACTAAATCCTGTTGCCTCTTTAGCTTCCAACACCTCCTCCTCTCAGGCTGTTACTTCTTCTTCCTTTGACCACTCTTCGTCATCCCACCACCAATACCCTGGCTCTGAACTTTCTTCCCTGGGGGGTTTCCTTGGTGGTTCCCCAGCTGGTGCCTCCCACCACTCCTCTGCCCCCAGCCAGACTATTACCAGCATCCATGGATCTGCAGGCTCCAATCCCCGATGCCCACAAAATTAGCCTTAAGCTGTGCCAGTGTTTGGAGTCAGTGGCAACAACAATGAAAAATCCTTCCCCTCTGGTTCTGGTAGGATTATGGATGTGACGGTTGCTCCACCATGGAGTATCCATCCCCACCCCTAGGATAGGCTTGCTCTTTGCACTGCAATGCTATGCACACTTTGACGTGGGAGTAAACCCCATTGCAGGCGGCTGAATTCCGACCAAACCTATATAGGTTTGCACTGCAGGAAATGAAACTAAGCACTTCAAACATAAGTGATGTTCACCATGCGTGTATGTACTAAAGCTTGCAAATCTATTAATAACTTGTGCTTCTAGATATAGGAAAAGCCATTTTGGCTGGACTGAAAAGCTACCTCTTTTGTTCACTTTCTGAAAGGAATGTTGCAGGAGGTGTGAGAATGCTGATTTCCAATGGCTGGCTAAACTAGTTATGTTATTTCTGTAGAGCAATCAGTTTCCATTCAGTCTTTAAGTACTGGGTCATTATGTTCCCAGCTTGCAGACACTGGCCGTTAACAGCTTATGGTTTTTTATTTTTTTATTTTTTGGTTCACATGTCTGATTCATGGATACTAGTGATGGCACCTGTTCTCAGAACAGTGTGTGTCTCTGTGTGTGGAGTTTAGAAAGGCACACTAGTTAACTGCTAACATCAGTGATTCAGCTCATACCATCAAATGCCTTTGAAAGGCAGGAGGTTTTAAATCAGCGGAAGGGATTGTTGAAGGAGCCAATAAAATTTCCCCTGGAAGGCAGTGCCACAGAGTGGGTGTCACCCCAGCAGAACAAAAACCCTTCTCTATGACTTCTCACTCAGTAATAGAGAGAATGCGGACCAGTTTTGGTCCATGGCTGATTAGCGGGGGAGCCTTTTTCGGTGGTCGTAATTCATGCAGGACTTATTTACAACCTTTGCTTGATAATCGTTACTGCTAGGACTCCACTGAATATTCTGATTGCATCACTGTTTATATGGGACTGGTTTGACAACTTTTGCTAGATAATTATCACTATGAGGGCTGCACTGATTTGGGGGAACAAAAATAGCTATTTCGCAGGGCGGAAATGTTTCCCTCAAATACTTTGTTTGTGAGAATAATACTTTACTTCAATGCCATTGTTTTCTTTCATTCCCCCCTCCTATCAATACTTCTGTCACTTTCCTGGATTAGGTAGAGAGATTAGGTAGGACTAATTACTCACATGATTCCCCAGCCATTCAGGGGTCATTCTGTGAATGAGATAGCATCTCTGCATTGTGTGACCAATCAGATAAAGCTCTGTGATGACATCACTGGGGACAAATAAAGTAAATTGAGAGGCAGAGGCAGAGGGTCCAATGCCAATGAAGAGGCAAATATCTTTGCACGTATTGCCAAAGGAAATTGTAGGAAAGGGAGGTGATTTTCAACAGCAGCTGAAAATGTTTCTTTACTGCTTCCAATTGCTCTTTTAATTCTTGCACAAAGTGAACACACAAAGCAAATGTACTTGCTGGCTTTTAAGGTGGAGAGATAGATGGTGCTTATTATGAGAAACAACAGCTGTGTGACAGAAACTTAAAAAGGAATGCACTTCCCATTTCTTTCAGATATGTTTCTTTGCTTTCTCTAAAATCTGCTAAAAGCTTACAGTTCAGCAAAAGTCATCTCTTCTCTTAAAAAAAAAAGTAATCCGGCTTTCCCTCATCCCCATTTTTTGGTTTATCCCTCTCTCATTTATGATGACCATGTGCGGTAAGATTGGTACAAACTTAAAAATTCAATTCCAATTTGAGTTGGGCAGTTGCTTTTGCTTTCAAGAGTGGCAATCAAAGGCAGCATTTCTTTGCCCCAGCCAATCCTTTCTGAACAAAAGCAATTCTGTTTGCAGCCTCGTTTAGCCAAATGCCTGTACCTGGCTGCTTTTTATGCTAAACAGCCTTCCCTATTTTGCACTTCACCTTAACCCTAGGACTCTGAGCAGGCGATATGTTGGTCCTCCATGGTGCAAGTGCCATGCTTGTTGAAGGGCGAGCATTATCCCTGCTCTGTGAATGCCCAGCAGAGCCATGTCTAGAGACGCCTTGAGTGAAAAATCCAAGGCAAGAATCTATGCAGAGATCCAAGGCAAAAGTCAAAGGCACCCAGACCACCTTCAGGACCATGGAGAGCTCACAGAGCCCTGCAGTTTGTATAGCTAGACCTGTAACAATAAATCCCACCTCCCCAGAGCTGCTGGTTGGCTTCAAAAGAGCCCTCATTTTATTTTTCAGTCTTTGGCTTTCATGACCTGGGGAGGCAGAGGTGCTGTGGGGAGCTTTGCATCTGGACAAGAAAAAGGGCATCAAGATTGTGTGCTCCTGTCAGGAGGGTCCTGAAGAAGGTCCTAGCAGTTAGTCCCCCAAGGATGGAAGTGGAGTTTCATCCTTGTCTGTTGCACCTGGGCTGTGGGTCGTGAGCTCATTGACCAGTGGTGGTGTAGACCACTGACACCATCAGCTCATCATTACAGCATCTGTCCTGTGCGGTCTGCCCCAGCAGGAGATGGTCTGGTGGTGTAGCAGGATTCACCCAACCTCCTGTCAATTTTTTTGCTGATGCTTACCAGGAGGTAGAGTGTGGTATGCAACGTGGTGTGGTAAGCACAGTGAAGATACACCGGCGGGAGAACCAAATTACCCCTGCCAGTGTGTATGTACCATGCTGCCCCTTCCTCTCAAACTCCCAACAAATAGCTGATAGGAAGTCAGGTTCACCACTAGCCTTGCTTCTGAGGCTATCAAGCGATGCTCTCCGGGAATAGTAGAGACCCATTCTGCAGTGACTGAGCAAGACATTCATCTCCATCCCTTCCTACATGCACTGCTGCTGAAAAAACAAGCAACAGTATCTTGGAGAATCATTATGCCATATGCCCCTTTCATGCAGTTTCTGTATTTGAAATACTACTCTCAGGTGTTTGACCACAATGGAGCAACAGTCTTGCTCTTTAACTAGTGTTAGATGTTCCTTGTGGGAAATTCATTCAGCTGGTCATTTAACGCTCTTTTGGTGTAGCAGGAGAAACGTCGCCATTTTAATTTGCTACTAACACCATACTTCTCGAAATCTAGGCAGTTTTCTGTGGTGGTGTGTGCGTCTTTTCTAATACCACCTGATTAAAAGCCCTCTCCTGCCTTACCCATTTAATCAGTTGTATATTTGTACACTAAGAGAAAGCTCTTGGGTTCTGGGGCAGACATTCCTTTGGGGAGATTTCCACATTCACAATGGGATGATTCAGGTATCCATTGGAATCAAACATTCTGACCATTTTTTCTGGAAAACAGCGATCATTTATAACTATAACCTGAATTTGAAAAGTCATGAAAATGCAAGATACACACTGAAGTGAATGGAGAACTACCTGGGATTTTTGTTACGGGGGAAAACAGCAGATGCAGTTTTGAATGTGGTGGGATAGTTTCCTGTAATGATCAAGGATGTTTCTTCCAGTGCAAGGCTTATATTACACATACAAAAATCAGTGTTTTATGCTCTTAGTTATCAATAAAAAAGAGGGGGAACCTGTGGCCCTCCAGATGTTGCTGAACTCTGACCCCATCGGGCACCCAACAATATTTTAAGGACCACAGTCTCACCATCCTTTCCCACTGACACACACACACACACTCATGGTCACCCATATCAATACCTTTCATTCTCCCAATCAAGAAATTAAAATCATTTGCGTGTCGAGGTCCCCAGGGCCACCCCAATAACTCACACATCACACCAATATTTTTGTTTAAGGTTTTTGGCATAATTTTGGCCACAACTTTATTAAAATACAAACATGTGAGTGGTTGCTTAGGCATTGGTTGTGACTAGCTGTCCCCACCGTGGGGGACAGACTGACATTCCGCACGCATGCGAAAGTCAGAAAAGGGGAATACACTTGGGGGGGAGCAGGGAACCTGCCCTCAGCCCACCCCAAATGCAGCCAGGAACTCTTGCACTGGCCCGAGCCCCCTGGACAGGGTGGACAAGCAATAGTTAGCCCCCGATTCCTTTAACAGAATCCCTTGCAGCAGCAGCATTAGAGGGGCAGGCACAGCCAATCCATGCCCCTCAACCAACCAAACCATAAGCCAATGCCTAACCGCAACCTTACAAGTTGTGACGATTTGCTATGCAGTAGGCAAAAACCAAATGGCCCCAGCCAATCAGCCAGATGGACAAAATTCCTACCGGGCCCCTGCCCCAAGAGCAGACGACCCCATGACAGGCATAGCAAGGTCAAGTGAACAACCCTAATTCTAGGGAGGAGGGGGGACGGGCAATCTGATGCACGGGCGAAAAGAGGAAGCTCTAGCCTTGTGCAAGGAGTTTTAGCATTTCTGGCTATCAATCAACAAATGGCAACATTAACTTCTTCCCAATGACAAGGGAAGCCCAATCGCATCAGTGGCCAACGGTCAATTAGCCCGCCCCACAACTTTGGAGTGTTCTGGTGGCCCCCACCGCAACACGTGCTCTCCATGAAGGAGAACACGCTTTATTTATTTCCAAGAGTTAAAGTGATAAATTCATAGACAAAAAATATTAATTGAAAGGGAGGGAATGAGTGAAGGGAATCAACATGTTGCAAAATATGAGACACTTAAAAGTAGACTCAAGTGACATGTGCTGGACATGCCAACATCCCTATTCTCTGTCCCCACCCCAATTGTGTGCTCTCTATAGTTGGATTACAAAAGAATACTCTGTACTGTAGAACCCTGGATTTATTACTTACTGGTCACGTTTGCTTCTTTCTTTTTCTTTGCTCTTGTCAATAAAATTGTAACTCCACAGCTAATAATGAGTGGTTGTTTGGCAAATAAAAGATCCTGCGTTATGCGAGTTCCGAGCAACAAAGCTTTTTGTGGGAGTGAGCTCTCAAAGAGCCAAGATGAATGAATATCCTTCAGCACACTGTTTGCCTAATGGGAATCTAAGTACTCCAGCTCCATTTTGGGGACTGTACATGACCATAAATAAGAATCAAATAGACACCATTTTATTAGAACAAAGGCATTTTAGAATACCTGATCAGATGAATGGCTTGTGGATTCTCTGAGTAGTGTAGGTGGTTTTTTTTTTTTTTTTTAAGAAAACCAAGGTATTATTTCATAACCACACCAAAAAATTTACAGCATTTCAGAGTTCACAAATATCTGGCTTTTGTCCCTCTTAAATTTTATTTGAAGTTTTAAGCATTTCTTGTTGTAAATCATGTGTTTGGTAAAGCAGAAGTGGTGGAATACTAAGCAAGCAAAAAATATCAGTCTTACAAGCAGAGACAGCTGGAATTATTCATTTCCATGATGTAATGTTTGGATGGGACCTCAAACAATCCAACTGCAGTCCCACATAAATACTACAGGTTACTAAGAATCTGGAATGGTCATCTCAGTCTGTACTCCAAAATGGATCAAAAATTGGCTTTTTGGTGAAGTTAGGCCTACTGTGGCCTGAGATCATCCCCACAATTTGCTGATTGTGATGGTTACAGGTAGATAGCTGTGTTGGTCTGCTGTAGTCAAAACAAAATAATAATTAAAAAATCCTTCCTGTAACACCTTAGAGACCAACTAAGTTTGTTATTGGTATGAGCTTTTGTGTGCATGCACACTTCTTCAGATATCTGAAGAAGTTTGCGTGTACACGAAAGCTCATACCAATAACAAACTTAATTGGTCTCTAAGGTGCTACTGGAAGGAATTGTTGTTGTTGTTGTTCTGATTGTGATAGTTAGAGGACTTGCCTTGATCCAGAATCTACTAGAATTGACCAGATCCAAGTCTAGTTCAGAAAGTGCTTTGCTATTCCACTTTTGGCCTACATTCCAATAGGGTCTATATTGGTGCCATCTTGACTTGAAATGGGAGTGTTAAATGGTTAAAACAGATCATACAATAAGTTATTGGTGACCTGCAGAACTCTTCTTGTCCAAACTTTTCCTATGATAGATTCAAGGCAAGTTGATCCATTCATCAGAACCAAATGGCAAGACTTTTCCCAGAGTACCACTTGAGGCTCCTAATAATAATAATAAAATTTTATTTATACCCTGCCCTCCCCGGCCAGAGCTGGGCTCAGGGCAGCTAACACCAGTAAAATTACAATAAAAACATAATGGAGGGGGGAACCAATTTAAAATACAGGTTAAAAATACAATTTAAAATGTAGCCTCATTTTAATAGTAGCCCATAGATCAAAACCATAAGGGGAGAGAAACATAAGGGGCAGACTAAGTCCAAACCAAAGGCCAGGCGGAACAGCTCTGTCTTGCAGGCCCTGCAGAAAGATGTCAAGTCCTGCAGGGCCCTAGTCTCTTGTGACAGAGCGTTCCACCAAGTCGGGGCCAGTACTGAAAAGGCCCTGGCCCTAGTTGAGACCAATCTAACTACCTTGTGACTTGGGACCTCCAAAATGTTGTCATTTGTGGACCTTAAGGTCCTATGCAGGGCAAACCAGGAGAAGCGGTCCCATAGGTATGTGGGTCCTAGGCCGTGTAGGGCTTCACAGGTCAAAACCAGCACCTTAAACCAGGTTTGAGGCTCCCATTTGGGAAACTCCCCACAAATGGATAATTAGCATCTCTGGGGCAAGAGTTTATCCTAGCTGTCTCCTTTCTGTGCTATATTTGCATGTGCAGAGGGTTTTTGGGAGGTGGGGGCAGGGGGATGTTTCAAGCATTGAATTCCCCACCTGTAGCCTGAGGTGGTCTAGTAATAGACAGAGACTTTCCCTACTGAGATTAGGAATTCATGATTGTGCTTCCGTTTTGTTTCTCTCTGCTGTAACATTAATTCATCATTTCATCATTTTCTGTTACACATGTTGCAGTAGGGGAAATATTCTGACCTGAAATCACACTTGGTACGAGCATCTGTTCTATGGATTATGTCTGTGAGACACAATCAATATGAAGCCCTGCTGTGCATGTTTTATAGTAACCTTTTCCAAGAGAACCACCCATGGAGTGGAGCTTTCTGACTCGGTGGAAATTGATGGATAAGCTCCCATTGACCTTAATGGAATCGGAAGCACCCAATTTTGAAGCCTCCCCTCTGATATCTTTTTATAAAGAGCTTTTGTTTGTGGTGCTCTGGATTCCTCCTTGGGATGTGGGAACGTGAGTTAAAGTGAATAAAAGCAAAATATGCAGGGGGCGATCCCCAGAGTGTGCTACTTAGGGCTCAGAGCTATATATCCAAGTACAGGGTGGTGGCTGTTAGCTATCACAAGGGACAAACCAGTTGGGAAGTATAGCAAATGTCTCGATAGCTTACTGTCCCCCCCCCACTGTCATCTTTTCTAAGAAAAAATGGCGAAATGCCTATCATTAAGATAGATGTGGGGCTTGTCAATTACCAAGGTTTCTAGGGTATCGACAGAGGTACATCATGACCCTTCCTCTTCCCAGGAGCTCTATCAATGACAGTTGGGCCACCCCTGTCTGTACAGGGGAGAGAAAGGGTTAATAGGTAGACCAATAGAAAAACCCAGAGGCGGAGCCTACCTGTTTTTAAAAGGCTTAGCCTTTTAGACAGTTTAGACAGTTGGGGGAAAGCAGTTGGGAAAGCAGTTGGAAATATAGAGACAGTTAGTGGAGTTGGTTCTTGTGTGAGGGGAGGTAGAGGAGTTAATAATAATAATAATAATAATAATAATAATAATTTATTATTTATACCCCACCCATCTGGCTGGGCTTCCCCAGCCACTCTGGGTGGCTTCCAACAAAATATTAAAATAAAGTAATGCATCAAACAATAAAAGCTTCCCTAAACAGGGCTGACTTCAGATGTCTTCTAGAAGTCTGGTAGTTGTTGTTCTCTTTGACATCTGGTGGGAGGGCATTCCACAGAGTGGGCGCCACTACCGAGAAGGCCCTCTGCGTGGTTCCCTGTAACTTGGCTTCTCGCCGTGAGGGAACCGCCAGAAGGCCCTCGGAGCTGGACCTCAGTGTCCGGGTAGAACGACAGGGGTGGAGACACACCTTCAGGTATACTGGACTGAGGTCGTTTAGGGCTTTAAAGGTCAGCACCAACACTTTGAATTGTGCTCAGAAACGTACTGTTAGAGTGAGGTAGACGCTATGAGGGTTAAGGGTAACAGAGTTTCGAATGCATTTAAAGTTTATTTGTGTTTGCAATAAACTACAATCTTCATTGTTAACTTGAGAACCCAACTGAGACTTAGTGTTTTACCAGGGAGAACCTGGTTGGTGGCAGCGGATTAGTGGTGTACGGGTCAATAATCCATGAAACGAGCAGGGGCTCCGTACAAACGCCACACCAAGGTCTCTTGGGTATTGACAGAGGTACTTCATGACCCTTCCTCTTCCCAAGAGCTGTATCAGTGACAGTTGGGCCACCTAGTGTCAGGGTATGAAGCAGCTGTTACCAAATGGTGCAGTCTGAACTGTGTCTGTGGTTGCGCTTCATTCAAGCAATGTGCGGCAGGGCTCAGCTTTGCCACTGAAATGCAATTGCAGCCATATTCTTACTGCAAAAGTCCAACTCAAGTTAGTTGCAAGTGTGTCCCATTAAAATGGGTGGGATGAATTGGACATTAACTTTCCATTATTTCAATGCGTCTTAGCCACAATGGCAAACTGTAACTGGGCTGTGACCAGTACGCACAGGTAGGGCTGGAATATAGTGACAGATAGGTAATGCCAACTTGAGTCATATCAACATTGGGTGGTGTGCAGCTACTGTAGGTCTTACTCAGACTAGACCAGGATGTCCCAAACTTGGATCCCCAGCTTCTTTTGGACTACAATTCTCGTCATCCCTGACCACTGGTCCTGCTAGCTAGGGGTGATGAGAGTTGCAGTCCAAAAACAGCTGGAGACCCAAGTTTGGGAAACACTGGAGTAGACCGATTGAAAAGAATGACCATTGCTAAGGTTCTCCAAGGCCTGTAATTTCCTCCCACGCCCAAGAGAAGGGCAAAAAAGGTTAGGAAGAGTTAATTCTTTGGAAGTTTTTGGAAGGAAAAAATGCCTTCCCACCCTGTGCCCAGCTTAACCCTTGTCCCCCCAACCTGGTGACCCAACAGACAGGCATGTGGTCTTAGCTGACTGCCAATTTCATTATTTCACCCAGATTGGCTCTCTGTAGCCCCAGAGAAAGAAGTCAAGGTTTGACTTTGACTTTACAGACGTGGATGTGACAAGTGAAAAAGGAAAGTTAAGAACATTGCTGCTAGCAATATATTACAGCTTCTATAACCTACATATACAGTGGTACCTTGGGTTACAGACGCTTCAGGTTACAGACACTTCAGGTTACAGACTCCGCTAACCCAGAAATAGTACCTTGGAATAAGAACTTTGCTTCAGGATGAGAACAGAAATCGCACAGCGGTGGTGCGGTGGCAACGGGAAGCCCCATTAGCTAAAGTGGTACCTCAGGTTAAGAATGGTTTCAGGTTAAGAATGGACCTCCAGAACAAATTAAGTTCTTAACCCAAGGTACCACTCTAGTAGGGGTACTTAAAATGAGAGTTGTCATAGCGATCTGTGGTTTTTGCTCTTCAAAATATGGCAACCCTAACTTGGACAGAATGGTGGATATTTAGTTACACTTGAGAGTAGTTTTTGTTTATGGGTACTGAACTTGGAAATCAGCATTCAAATTTCAGATTAATAATAAATAATAATATTTATTTATATCCCACCTTTTCACCCTGACAGGGACTCAAGGTGGCTTGCAGCTAAAATCGAAACAGCTTAAAACATAGTAGGAAATGCTTTATTTGTTGCTTTAGGTCTCTTTTTGGGTTTTTTTTTAAGTGCTCTTCTTTTTAATTGCATTACTTTTAATTGCATTTGTAGGATTATATTTTATTGTCTATAGCTGCTCTGAGTACAATTATAGAAGAGCAAGGTATAAATAAATCATTACTGATATTCAGAAGTCCTTTTACTTGGATCAATAGAAGGGTGCAGATTTTTTTTTAATGAATGTGAAGGCTTATGAATGATTGTCAGAAGCTCTGAAGTTCATTGACCTGTTTCCCCTTAATGCCCTAGCTGTATTTCTCTGAATGACCTTCTAGTAGCCACATAGTGATGACGCGGCAATTCAGTTTTCACTTGCTGAGTGCATTATGCTCTTCCTGCTCTGACCTTTTTGAAGCTCCCTGAATGTGACATATATGTATTGGGCTGTCATTTAAAATGCCAGGAGAGGAGCAAATCAAGCATGGGTTTTGAGTCATCGGTGGACGAGAGGGCAATATTGTAAGAGAAATGCAAACACCAAGTGGGAAACAAATAATGCAAACCTAAAAACAGGGCTGATTTCTCAGAAAGAAGGCAAACAGAAGGCAGGGAAGAGAGACAAATTGAGAAGAGTTGCTGTGGAATGAAGCCAATTTACTTCCATGAATGATTGAAAATGATGGGAGTGTTTTGTTGACAATCAAAGATGCTGGTCAAAAATGGAGTTGGGGCTGGAGCATAGGATGGGTATATCATAGTGATTCTGTATATTATTCCTGTATTGGGAGATCAGCCAGAATACTGTCGTGTTGTCACAGAGCTGGGGAGCAAAAGCCTTCCACCCTGTGGTAGCTGTGTGTGTGGAATCTTTTTATGGCAATAGCTACAATAGCCACAATCTGTATGAGGCAATTTGGACTGAGCTCTCTCTAGCTTGGCCTTATTTGCTAGGTGAAACTATGCAGCTGCCATTCTGTTGTGCAAAACAGCAGCTGTGCATGTTGAACAGTGCTTATCACATGGTCATAAGATGCTATGGTAGGGGCCATGGATATAGATCACAGCTGAGCACACTATAGCCCTGAGCCACATGTGCACTCCTTGGCTTACCGTACTTTTCCATGTATAAGACTAGGCATTTTTCCGTTAAAATCACACTAAAAAGTGGGGGTTGTCTTATACATGGGTAGTGCATAGGGTGGACATCATAGCTGTCAACGTTTTCCCCTTTTAAAGGGAAATACCCTTATTCCGAATAGGATTTCCCTTAAAAAAAGGAAAAAGTTGACAGCTATGGTGGACATTTGACTGGTTGCTGCTGCGGCTGTTGTGCATGTTATTGGTTGCTGCGTCAATGGGTGGTGTAGAATTGCTGACGCTGCGGCAATTGGGTGGGTGATTGGCAGCCTTTGCCGGTGAGGGGACATACGGGAGGCGGATTTAGCGATGTGTGCGGGTGTGCGATTTTCGGCGTTCCCCCCTAAATAAAAGCTCAACAACCCTCAGTAATCCTCTTCCACAAAAGCGCAACAACTTTTTGCCATCTCCCCCCATTTTATGAAATTTCAGTCCTCCCAAATAGTCTTATACACAGGGGCGTCTTATAGACGGAAAAGTATGGTAATTGCATGTGGCCCTTGGTTGCTATTTCCATATGCCTCTGAACATTCAGACCTCTGGAAAGACTGATCTGCTTCTTGTGCATCTGTCTGCTGGATTTGTGTGGTGGTGATGCATCCCATGCCTGGCTTTCTTTCATGGCTTTAGACTGGCCAGGCGAGTGGAGCAGCAACTGGGCAAGATGTAACCAAGGCAGTATGACTTGGGGAAGGAGCTCTAGAATATAGACTTCTAAACATACAAACATACAAACACTGCAAGTCTGTATGTTATAGGTCAGACAGATTTAGTGTCCAAAAACTGCAATTTACAGAGCTGCAAGCTACCTAAACATACTGGCAAATGTGTTAGGAAGGCAGACACAGTGGTGCCTCGCAAGACGAAATTAATTCGTTCTGCGAGTTTTTTTGTCTTGCGATTTTTTCGTCTTGCGAAGCACGGTTTCCCATAGGGTATCAACGGTTTTAAGAAAAAGGAAACAAACTTGCAAGACGTTTTCGTTTTCCGTCTCGTGAAGCAAGCCCATAGGGAAATTCGTCTTGCGAAGCAACTCAAAAAACGAAAAACTCTTTCGTCTTGCGAGTTTTTCGTCTTGCAAGGCATTCGTCTTGCGAGGTACCACTGTACATCTGGCAGCTATCTAACATAACAACCCAAAATACAACCAGCCAAGCAGATACAACTGAGTTTTGGCTTATGTTGATAGGCATGCAAGATTCTATTTACACAGCCTAAAGTGTGGGGGAAGGGAGTGAAAGAACCGCCCCCCCCAATGCAACATGGGACAGCATGGCAAGTCTCAAATGTTTGTTTGTTTAAGCATTAGCTATGTTGTTTTATGGGGATGAGGGTAGCGCTGTAGTCTAAACCACTGAGCCTCTTGGGCTTGCTGATTGAAAGGATGGTGGTTCGAATCCCTGTGATGGGGTGAGCTCCTGTTGTTTGGTCCCAGCTCCTGCCAACCTAGCAGTTTGAAAGCACGTCAAAGTGCAAGTAGATATATAGGTACCGCCCCAGCGGGAAGGTAAACGGTGTTTCCGTGCGCTGAAAACCAGAAAAACTGTCTGCGGACAAACATCGGCTCCC